CAGGTGAAACTGGAGGGATTTAACCCGAGATGTTTGCCTAGCAACATATGCTGTAAATATTTATGTTTTAATTTTTTTTTTTTTAACTTTTTTTCTAAGTTCTTTGATTGGGGGTTTTCCGCTTGACATTTAAAGAAAACAGCAAAGTTGTTGAATCGTGTGTTTGGCTTTCTGTTAGCATCAAATTATGATTTAATGAAGTTACTGAGTTGAATGAACCGAAAACAAATTCTATACGGAATATTAGCAAAATGTATGTAAAAATTGCAGTCAAATATTTATATAATATAATTAGTATGCAAATATATTCGGTTTACTTTTACATCAACTCTCAGCTGAGTCCTGCATTATAAACTTTTTCATCCCAAAGCCATCTTCTAAACGATTTACTTACACCGTAATCAGGTTAAATGCGTAAACATAAATATATATTAATACCGCTAGACGTGCAGCCATTGTGACCTACTTTTATAGGTGCCTGCTGCTCGAAAAATTGGCCGAGGAATTTCTGTGAAATTTTGTAGCTTATGGGCAAAAAAAAAAAGATTGATTTATATTCTGAATTATTTATTGGCAAGGAGCTTGGCATTCTACTTTTAACTTTTGATTAGTGTTCCTACACCTCAAATTTGATTGATTTGTGATGGTGCTGGGTAATATAACCTTATATTATTTTTTCGATTATATATTTTCTATTACCAGCTGCAGACAAAACTAGTTTATTTTTAACTATGATTTATCGACTGCAACTCTTTTTTTTTTTTGTTTTTTAATAATATTAAATGTTGGCAGGAGTTCGTTATTCTCGTAAGAAAAATGTTTCTTGACAATCATATTAATTTATTATTTTTTTTTTTATATATCATTCTTTTACTTAAAAATCAAATAACAATTTTGTTCTTGAATAATATGAGTAGAGATCTTGAGTAATTTAAAAATGGGCAATATATGTAAAAGCATAGCAAAGTTTGGTAAAGAATTTTCATGAAAATATTTAATTAAATAATAAGGTAATGAATGCTAGCTCAATTCCTTATTTTCTAAACTTACAAAATTAGTTAGCTAGCAAAATAAAACAAAAAAAAATATATTTTTGTTTAGTATATAAACATAGTTTGAGCTGACTTTAATTTAAAAATAAAAATCTACGCTTTCCAATGCGATTTTATTTTTTGCGATCACAAGTTTAAAAATTGGTATCAATTTAAAAAATCAAACAGAAAATATATATTCATATTTATATATTTTTTTTTAAATAAATCTTTTAAAAATAAGTCAGCTCAAATTATGTTTTTATACTAAACAATATATAAATATATACATATATTTTTAAAATTTGTTTATTGATATTATATATTATAAAAACTCCATTAAATAGCGAGATTTTCTAAGCCCATGAAATTTATATAAATGGTAAAATATTTTTTTAATATATTGTGTTAACAGTCTGTGTAATACTCGCACACACGCCCACAGTTTATAGAGGATTTACATATAGAATATATATAGAGAACGTTTATATTGAATCGTATAATATATGTATTTATAGACAATCTGAGCACGCATTTTGTTTGGCGACGGCACTTCTAAGATTTCGCGATGGGATTTATTAAACCCATTCAATTCGATTCGCTCTGTGAACCAGTTCATATGAACACATAATTTCATTTCATTTTGTTGTCACCTCAATTTATTATTATTGAATTTAATATTATTGAATTTATTTTTATGCCGCGCTAACTCACTTCTGCGATTCACTTTCCGTTTCCGAATGCGTTCTGCGTTCTGCGTTCTGCCGCTCTCCGTAATTGGCAACTGTTGCTCCTATCTACTTGTTGAACACTGCGTAACCGACTCGCGGCGCCGACTTCTTTTATAAAGGACGAGCGGAGCCGAGTAGCGCACGAGGCTCGTGGCGAGCGCACACGAAGGTGACGCGCCAAAAAATTGCGTAAAAGCTCGACGAAGCTTTTACGATTACGCCTAATCGTTGCCCGTTGCCTGTTGCCCTGCGGCTGCTTCGCCGACTCCTGCTCCATTATTTGGCTTCCGCTGACTTTATCAATGAAAAATTTCGTCACATTTGCACAAGTTTTGTCGCCCGATATTGTCTTATGAAAAATGATGGGTAAATCGTGCGGGGAATTTAGCCGTAAAAAAGTAGCCGCAATTATTTACGCCGCACGATACAGTAGGCTGAGTGGGCGTGGCCTGGTTAACAACACTAATTGTTGACAATGCTTTTTATTATGTAGCATTTCAGGCGTCACTTTCGATTCCAGGAAAACTAACAAGCGTGGGCCCTATTCTCTTTATTGGCGCATTTTCCTTTTGTCCTGCAAATGGCGACGCGGAAATCCCCGCGGAACGTGTGTGTGACGACGATTTCTAAGGAATCTGCGTGCGTGCATTTCGCATTCTCTCTCCTGCTTCTTTTGCTGTTTTCATAAAATTATCTCGTATCAGCCAACTGTCAACATAAATCTCTTGATTTTTTATTACGCTCATATATTGGG